TCAGGGGCCCCCTTAGCCCCTCAGCCCCCCAGCCGCGCAGGGCGACCCTGCGGAGCCAGCGCCGGTGCTCGGGAGGGACGCGAGGAGCCGAGCTCACCCCGGCGGGAAGGCGGCAGGCGGGCCGAGGGCCTCCCCCGGCAGGTGGCCAGTAGCTGTGACCGGATTTTGCCCGAAAGCGCTCGGTTCCCACTCACAACTCAGCTGCCCCAGTGATAAAGAAGTAATAGAGATCATGGGGAAACTGGGCTTTGAGAAGGCTTGGATTAAAGAGGAGCAACGAGAGCAGAAGGATGAGGAAAAACTACCCATGAATGAAGAAGAAATACAGAGGTACGTAGAAAAATTACAGAGCTGCATAGAAAAAATGCAGAAGAATGAAGAAGAAATGCGAGAGAACAAAGAAAAAATGAAGAAGAACGAAGAAAAGATACAGGAGATCGACGAAAAAATACAGGAGATCAAAGAAAAAATACAGGAGAACGAAGTAAAAATACAGGAGGACAAAGAAAAAATACAGCAGATCAAAGAAAAGATACGGAACAATGAAATAAAAGTACAGATGAACAAAGAAAAACAGGAAAAGAAAGAAAGAATGCTGAAAAATGTGGAAAAACTACAGAAAAATGAAGTAAAAGCAGAGAACGAAATAAAAATGGAGTTCATGGATAAAGTACAGGCAATCAAAGAAAAAATAAGGAGGAACAAATCAAAAATACTGAAGGACGAAGAAGGAATGCAAATCAAAGAAGGAATTAAGAACAAGGGAAAAGTACAGGAGCTAGACAAAAAAATACAGGACCTCGACAAAAAAATGCAGGAGCTTGATGAAAAAATGCAGGAGCTTGACGAAAAAATACAGCAGCTCAAAGAAAAAATACGGAACAATGAAATAAAAATACAGACAAACAAAGAAAAAATACAGGAAAAGAAAGAAAGAAGGCTGAAGAATATGGAAAAAATACAGAAGAATGAAGCAAAAACAGAGAATGAAATACAGGAGTTGAAGGAAAAAATACAGGCAATCAAAGAAAAAATGAGGAGGAACAAAGAAATGCAGATCAAAGAAAAAACACATCAGATCAAAGGAAAGATACAGGAGCTTGATGAAAATATACAGGAGAATGAAATAAAAATGCAGGATGACAGAGAAGAAATACAGCAGATCAAAGAAAAGATACAGAAGAATGAAATAATAATGCAGATGATCAAAGAAAAAATACAGGAAAATGAAGAAAGAAGGCTGAAGATTGTGGAAAACATACAGAAGAATGAAGCAAAACCAGAGAATGAAATAAAAATACAGGAGGACAAAAATAAAATACAGCAGATCAAAGAAAAGTTACGGAAGAATGAAATAAAATTAGAGATGATCAAAGAAAAAATGCAGGAAGAGGAAGAAAGAAGGCTGAAGAGTGCAGAAAAAATACCAAAGAATGAAGAAGAAATGCAGATCAAAGAAAAAATTAGGAAGAACAAAGAAAAAATACAGAAGCTCAACAGAAAAATACAGGAGCTTGACGAAAAAATACAGAAGAATACAGAGAATGAAATAAAAATACAGGAGATGAAAGAAAAAATAAAGGCAGCCAAAGGAAAAATAAAGAACAAAGAAAATAGCAAAATACCAAAGAACGAAACCAAAATACTGGAGAGTGAAGTAAAACCAGGGAACGAAATGGAAATTCGTAAGAATGAAATAAAAATACAGGAGATCAAAGAAAAAATACGGAAGAACAAATTAAGAATACAGGAAAACAAAGAGAAAATACCAAAGAGTGAGGAAATAACAGAGAACAAAATAAAAATACGTAGGAAAGAAGAAAAAATACAGGAGATTGAGGAAAAAATGTGGAAGATCAAAGACGAAATGCGGAAGATTGAAGAAAAAATACAGAAGAACAAAATAAGAATACAGGTAAACGATAAAATACCCAAGAATGAAGAAAAAATACAGAAAAATATGGAAGAATGAGAGAAAACTACAGAAGAATGAAGAAACAATATCAACTAAAAACCTAAAAAAACCCCAAAACCATTAATAAAATGCTGACAGTCAGCTTTGCCACTGTCATTTCTCCATGCTGAGTGCCAGACTGGCAGGTGGATGGATGATCTCCCTGTGTGGGGATGCACTCACGGCCCCTCCTGGGGCAGGATGCTGGGCTGGCACGAGGGCAGGGGATAAATCCCACAGCCTGCAGCAGGCTGGCCATCCCTGCAAGGAGCAGGCATCTGGACAAGGGGCAAAAAGCCACGTTTTGGGGGTGCCATGAGGTGGCTCGTTTTCAGGGTTGGCTGCACCTCCTGCCCTGTCAGTGCCGGCCACTGGGTTTTGGGGGTGGGATTTGCCAGGTCAGACTCATCACGGCCCCTGGGCTTTCTTCATGGGGATGGAGAGAAATGGGGCTCCATGGAGAGTGATCTTGTCCCCAAAGCAGGATCTCCAATGGCTGATCCTGTTGTAAATGGGATCCACAGGTTCCTCCTAGGGCAGTAAGGGGGGGGTTGGATGCTGAATTTGGTGACGGATCATCTGAAAGTGTTGTCTGCAACTGCACAGCCCCCCTTGGAGCAGCGTTTTGGGGATGCTGCAGCCCACTCTGCCCCAGCAGCCAGACCCAAAAATGTTCCAGTAAAAAAGCACCTGTCCAGGGGTTGGGTCAGTGGCAGCAGTGGGACACAGTTCCACCTCCAGCTCAGCAACCACAGGTTTTTGGGTATTCCCCCAAGATCTCACCAGGTCAGCTCACAGCACCTTCCTAGGATGGATTTGCCCCTAAATATCAGATTTGCTTCGAATGGCAGATGGAAATGGGGGACTGTGAGAATCCCACCTCAGTTCCTCTGCTTGGTTGATTCCAGGAGCAGTTTTGCCAGCCCAAGCTGGCATCAGGCCAAAGTCAGAAGCTTTTGCCTGATGCCAGGGTGCTCCATGGCTCTGCCCTGGCCGGGTGAGCTGGGGTGAAGCAGAGCTGTAGGGCTGCTCCCCTCCTGCCCCAGGCTGCCTCATCCTGCCTGGGAAAAGCCCTTCTCTTGAGGATGTCACTGACTGTCACACACCAGGAGCTACCAGAGCCCAGCGTGGCCACCAACCTGCAGCCACCTTGTGCAGGTGAAGGCGAGAGGGAGAGGGCTCAGCTGGCAAAGTCCCTGCACTTCCTTCATTTGAGTGTCGCGCTGGGACACAGCGCTCGGAAGGTGGCTTTGCTGGCACCCGGGGGCCACACAGCTGGGAACACTTGAAAACAAAAGCCAGCAAAATCCAGCCCGTGCTTGGCAGCCTATTTGGCTTAGTGGGAGTTATTTGAAGTTAGCCCAGTGTGAGAGCTGGCTCTGCTCCTCCATCCATTGCAGGATGAGGGCAGAGGGGAGCAGTGGAGCTGGGTTAGGGCTCGCTTCCCCTTCCCACACCCTTGGGAGCTCTCCGGAGAGTCATTTTTTGCACAAGGAAAACCTCCTCCCAGGCTTGGATTTTACCATTCTGCACAGTCCACCATGAAACAAGCATTTCATAAAAGAGCCCTATGGTCCCCATGTCCATGCAGCAAGTTAAACAAGGAGGAGGTTTGTCTTTGGGCACAGGGACATCTCTGCCTGTGTGATAACCCCAGCAGCTCCTTGCTACTGCAGCCCCTCTCCCTCAGCAGAAATTCCCTCATTGCCACATTTTAAGCCTTTTACCACCAAAGCTCTCAGTCTCTGGGTGCTGCATTAAGTGCTTGCAGTCCCTTGCTTCTGTAGTGGGCAGCACATTTAAGTCTCACCGCTTCAAGCAACAAATGCCATTTAAATGTCCCCAGCTCAGCAGAGCGAGGCCGGGGTGAGCTGAGCTGCTGGGACACCTCTCACTCCTTCCCAGCAGTGTTCTTGCTCTCCACTGCTTCGAGGAGAACAAAAGTTCTTCCTCAGTCCATGTGGAGGAGCTGCTCCAGTTTTTAATTGGATACAGTCTGCTTGCTCCCATGTGGCCACAGGCACTGCTCCAAATCCCGGCTCTGCCTGCACAGTGTGCTCAGGCCCTCTCCTTGCATGCAACCTGACTCAGCTGCCTCCCTCCAAAGCTGTGCATCCCCCAGAACTTCAGCTCTGTCTTTCCCAACAGATGATCCTCTCCACCAGCAAATGCTGCTGCAGAGAACTAAGTCAGGTGCTTTGTAACTGCTGCCATTCAGCACTTTTTCTTGCTGGCTGAGGCAGGAACACTGGCCTGGTATTTCGTGGTTTATTTGCATGACATGCTTAGGTTCAGCCCCACTCTGTTTCTGCTTTTCTTGTAGGTCGGACTCTACTCATCCCTGTTTGGAGATAAGCAAAAGACCACTGAAATATCTTCCAAGGAAGCTGTGGACAAAGAGGAGACAATATTGCAACTACAACCCTGTGAGCGTAGAGCAAAAAGGGGAGCTTCATGCCTCTCATGCACAACTCTTCAGCCCAGTTGACCTTTTTTCCCCCCAAAGACTGATGCTGTTGACACATCTTTGCCTGACAAACCCTCAGGAGGCCCAGGTCATTACTGTAGAGACTGTTGCCCCCTTCATATTGCTGCAGCTTTGTGTTGCAGTTAGCACCTACCTTTAGAAAACAAAAAAAACCCGAGGGCAATTGTCCAGCCCTTTCTCCAACCTGCCACAATTCTTTCCCAGTCCTGCTTCTGCCTTCCTGAGCACTCAGTGCTGATTCCAGCTTGATACCATCAGAAGCACTGGGGGCTCACTCCCCCTTCCAGACCTCTGCTGCCAGCAGAAGCACCAAATTGGACTTGATGCAAGACTAAAGCCCCTGGACCCTCAAATTAATTCTGCTTCACAGGGTGGGATAATCACTGAAATTAGTTCAAGGTATTTTTTTCTCCTGACCAGCACAGGCTGGAGAGAATCTGTCACCTGCAAATTTTGTCCCAAGGATTAGATAAGCTTTTTAGGGCACAGATCCCCAAACTCCTCTTTTTCTTGCAACTTAGAGGCACTGTTTTGCAAGAGACAGCAGAGGAGCAACATCCCACATGCTGTTGGTGCTTTCAGGACACTGCTGTGGCTCCCAGAGTTTATCAATGAACTCCCTGCACTGGAGCAGCAGTTTCCCACAGGCCCAGAGCACCCAGTGCTCTGTAACACCAGGGCAGCCACAGCTCTGGCTGCCATCCCGAGGGGAGCAAAGAGAAATCTCATCTAGCAAAGAGAGAGAAATAACGTGAGCAGGAGGTGCTTCTGCCTCCTAAGCAGTATCTCCAAATATCTTTAACTACTGCAAAAGCAAGTAAACAATGATAAATATTGTTATCTTGAGGGAGGCTGTTGACACCAACGTGCTTGACTTTGCAGGCTGAGTGCTGGCAGGGGCCAACAGCAGCTCAGTGGAGGGGCAGTCCTGCTGCTAAGGCACTGTGACCCCCTCTGCTCGACTTTGCAGGAGACTCTGCAAGGATAAGGGATGAAGCTGGACTCAAACAGTGTCTGAGCACTCAGCTGATTCATATTGCAGATAGAAAAAGCTTTCACTGAAGATTTGCTAACAGAAAGTCAAAAGTGCCACCCCAGCAAGGGAAACTGTGCCACCTCTCCCTAGGTCTTTTGGCAGTGAAATTTGTTTTCACATTTACTAGTTCTGGCATTCAATGCAAATCAAACCCAACAGAAAAGAAGTTTTTGCTTGCTCCTTCCTTTGTTTTTTTCCTCTTCCTCCTCCCTGAACCATTTTTTCCCCATATTCTCTCTCTGGTTCATTCTTCATGAACCAGCAGAAAGCTGGGTCTGTTAAGGAATTTTACTGCCTTGGAAGAAACTCTGCAAATCTACATAAGCAGAAAATCTTGTCACGTCTCCTCACAAATTGAAAAGGAGAGCTAAATGAAATCCCACTGGGATGCTCTGGCTACCTCAGTGCAACAAGGTTCAGCTTAAGCTGCTTGTTTCACTTGCTGCATTGCCTGGTTTTAATCCAATTTGGTTCGGGACACATAAAACAGCCGCTTTTCCGCCCTCCAGGAAGCAGCGGGTGCAACCAGAGCAGAGCAAAGTGCTGGCTGGTCCTGCCTCATGTGCACACACCCCAAGCTGTGCTCACTTCTTGGCTTGTGCTTTAGCACTACGTTTTCTCATCTGCTACATTTTTGGTTGTGTTTGTCAAAATGTCACCCGAGTCACTACCAACCAACAGCTCAAGTGCGACGGGTGGTGCTACGGCAGCAAAGCCCCCGTGATGCAGAGGCCAGGAGCTGGCTGCTTGCTCACCCACTCTTGGTCACCCCATGGATTACCACAGCCTAACACCACATCATCCCTGTTAGGGAGACATGGAGGACAGCCCTCCTCTGATGGCTCTGACTCCAGCTTCCCCTTCCCCACCAGCTGCCCCTCTGACACCACACCTCCCCAGGGAGCAGCAGGGGCTGCATTGTTTCCATCCAAGCAGCCACCACAGCCAGCTCTGTCCAGCACTGTGCTGTCCCCCAGGCCTGCTTTTACAGGAATTAAAATTAAAAAAGGTGCTGCCCTGCAACAGCCTGGAGAGAAAAATGTTAAGTGCCCGTGCACAGCTCTGAGCAAGGCCTGGGCTGCAGGAGCCCCAGCACTGCCTGGCTTTACCTTCACCTCACCCCAGACTCTGCAGGAGCTGCCGAGGGGCCGCCCTGCTCCACGAGAACAAAATCTTCCCAGAGACAGAGGCAGAAATAGCCACAGAGTGGCTTCATGCCTAAAACACCAGCAAAGCAGCTCAGCCTCTCATGACAGCTGCCCTGCACAGTGAAGAGACACTGATTTGTTCCTTCCTTCCATCCCAGAATCTGCCCCTTTGACTCCAGACAGAGATGAGCAAATATTTAATTAACACATTTGACCTTTTATTAGCACTCCATGCTGATGGCTTCCTGCACACCAGCTAGGTGTGCTTTCCTGCAGCCTGCTGCAAACCTGGAAATAGAATGGTGTTACAAGGTTTCTTCACATATCTTTGAACATTTTCTGAAACTCTGGATTTGAAAACTGAGAACATGAAAGAGTCATCTTCCATTATTATTTTAATAGCATTTAAGTTTGTATCTCTTATTCCTGTTGAGTTGTATAAAAGTAGAAAACGAGTGTTATCTAGAAAATCAAAAGTCAAAGGATTCAAATCAAAACATTTTAATTCTTTTTCCTGTGTGTGTTTAAAATTTTCCAGATTTCTTGTGGTAAGACAGGGTTAGAGTTGACTGAACATAAATGATGCCTCAAAATAGCTGAGAACAGAGAGCAGAGAGCATCCTGCTCCTTCTGGTTTAGCTGGCATTACCAGAGACCTCACAGTGTCATTCTACCAGCCCTTATTTTCCTGATCATTGTTAAAATGCCAAAAATTCTCATGTCAGTGATTTATTTTCAGTTTACAGGATATGCAGGTGTATGGCCTGACCCTTTCCCTTCCCCTCACCTGGCCAGAGCAGGATGGTTCAGCGAGGATTCCTCATTCAATTAACACATCCATTATTTCAGGCTGAAGCTCAGCGAGACTTGGAGGTAATACAAAGCAGGAGAAACCTCACCTGCATAAGGGAACACTTGGTTATGTTCACAGGACATGCACTGTATGTCACTGAGACCTATTTTTAAAGTACAGCAGCACCAGTTATATTTGATAACTATAAACATTTTATTCTTATATAAAAATATAGGAACAAAATACTATACAGAAAAATATAAAGTTAAGTCGAGATCTTCTCAGTCCCATTTAAGACAAACAGGCTCACACTGTGCAAGCCCCAGACTCTCAAAAATAAAATTATCCTGGCAGTTGAAGTGGTGGCACGTCCAGAGGCAGAGCCGTGCTGAGGAATAAGCTTCTAATACAGGGAATTTGTCTTGCAGCTTCCAATATCCTCACAAGTTTGTTTTTGTTACACATAAAACAGAACCCAAGTCCTCCTTCATGGTCTGACCTGGAGATAAACGTTCTCCCACCCCTCAGAGTATTTACAGGAAGGTGCTAAGAGCCCACCTGGCCAGGACACATCCCCCAGGCTGCGACCCCACCCCGTGGGCTCACAGTGACACAAACCAGTGGCTGCAGCACCCTCACAACACAACTGGAACCTCTCTGTCACCAGCTGCGAGCTGGAAACCATGACTTAGGGAGGCAAAAGTCAGTGAAAGCAAGCTGATGAAATCCCTGAGCTTCTACCAATTCCTCAAAACAGAAAAAAGCCAACTCCCCTCCCCCAGACAACAAAAGCAGCCAGCATTCTTTTCCAAGGTACTGGCTGTTTCAGTACATTCCTGTCTTTAAGGAAGGACACTGTGGACTGCAGCAGCCAACAGTGTAAGAATCATCTCTCTTCTCTTTACCTGTACTTCTCCAGTACTAATTTGATTTTCCACAACCAAACTGTCCGAGTTTGCTTGCAGATGAACCAGGAACAAGATGAGGGAATGGAGAAGGCAGAGAATTAAGGAATTACAGTGCAAATTATATGCTCGTGGGAAAAAAAAAAAAAACAAACACAAAAGAAAAAGGTTCTCTGTAGATTTTCCAAGCCTGTTCTCTCCATTGCCTCAAAATAGGGTTGGTCTTTGTCAGGGAATAAGTTCCAACTGACCCTAGACTTTCAACAGAAGGTGGGAGGGTGTTCCCCAAAGCAGTGAACCTGCTGTCACACTGTGTATCAGCAATGCCTGAGAGATGCAACATCACCACCTTTTCATCACCCACTAATCACAGCAGGACTCCACCAGAAAGTGCAGTGGGAGTCTCAGGTCTTCACGTCCCTCTTATATTATTCATTTGTAGCAGAGATTTGCAAGTCCCTGTGCTGTATTCACAGTGGAAAAAAAGTGCAGCAACACATGTTGGAGACACTCCAGGAATTATTGCTCTGCTGAGGCAGCTTGTGGAGTCTGACTAAAGAAAATTGGCCAAAGAAGAAATAAGGGAAGGCCTAAAGAGGAAGACAGAGAAAGAAAGGAATTGCTCCAGGCACCAACACATCCTAGTTCCTGCCTACTGCCAGAAAGGTGCTGTAATGGATCCTGTCTCCTGTAAGCAGCACGAGCAGCAGTTGTGTAGGGTTGATCAGCAGCATATTTGGACAGTCTGTGGCAGGTGTTGGGACAGTTCACTGCCACCTGTAGATATTCACCACCTTCTCTGTAAGAGTAGCCAGGAGGTGGGTTTGGTTCACTTCCAAGGGGCAGATATCCAGCACAGGCAGGTCAGCTGGCAGCTTCTGCAGCAAGGAACCACTTCCAGCATCCCAGAGCTGTGGGAGGGACAGACAACGTCAAGGACTGAAGGATTCTCCCCTCCCATCCAGAAGAGACCTTCCTCTCACCAGAAAAGACTTTCCTCAAATTACTTACAGGACCCTTTCTCTACTTCCACCCCATCTTGGGTGGTTTTTAACAGAATCACAGCATGATGCCACCACGGCCACTCTCTCTGACCCCACTCATGAGCTCTCCTCCTCTTCCCTGTCATTCCTAAAGAGCCTGCATCCTTCCCTCACAGCACTTACCACATTAGCTACCCCACCAAGTGTCTGTTACACCACTTAAAGAGTGCCCAGTTGTGCCAGTGTGCCCAACTCCATTCCTCTGGGGGACAAGAGGGGCTCACTGCCTACACACTTTTCAATGGATGGGGACCACAGGCCTTGGCTAAGATCGAGTCCCGTGTTATCAGGAAGTTACACCTGCTACAGAAGTACAACACACCAACCAGCACAGGGTAATGTCCATGACAACTCCCACCAAATCACACTGATGCTGTGACTGATGAGGCTTCTCTCCTATGAACTGCAATAAACCCCTCCAGCACACTGAAAGGAGCAAGAGATACCAGGGCAGAACTGGACGCCTCATCACCAGCACACACAAAGACGCTCCCGTCATTCTCCGGGCTCTGGAAAATGGCATTTTTGGTCAGCAACTTGCAGGTGGGCCCAGCACTGAAAGTCTGAACCGGGTTAGAAGAACACACCACATCTTCAGAGGCCTCTGTCAGTGGGGTGCAAGTCAGTTCCATCATCACACAACGCACACATGGGTTATTTTTACCTGTGTGGTAGAAATACAAAGGTAACCTTTGGAAAATGTACTCACAGAGAGGCTTCAGCTGTAGGAATACAAGCAGCACCACCCTGCAGCTGCCTCCTTTTGCCCTCCCCTGGTTCTTATCTATGTGCAGATGCTCATTGCTGTGGTGGGGGCAGATGCTGCATTTCTGCTGTGCCCCCAAGCTGGTGCTGAGCTGAGTGAGTGGCACTGAGAGCCCTGCAGAGCCCCCCGTACGTACCAGGCCGGTAGGTGGCCAGGCAGTGCCGTGTGTTGATCTCTGTTTGGATATCGATGCAGCCCCCGGGCTCCAGGGGCAGGTGATGGGGCCGGTAGGAGTTGCCAGCTCTCTGCTCCCAAAAGCAGGCTCCTTCCAAGGTCCCAGCCAGTATCCCACCGTAGGGCAGCGACGCCGAGGCCATGCGGGGCAGGTAGGACAGTGACACCATGGGGCACCTGCAAGGGGGACAGGCAAGAGTCAGTGCTGCCAGCTGCAGCTCTGCTGGCATCCTGCTCACTGCTGCAGAGCTCCAGCCTCTCCAACTGCACAGCAAAGAAAGGGCCTAAGCAGGCTCTGAGACGGTCCTTCAAGCAAGGAACCCCAGTGGCATGTCAAGTATAAATGGAATTCAACTTCACTACTGAGCCTTATGTTTTACAGAGCATTAGACAGCACACATCAGATGAGTGCAAATCAGTGTTTGATTCCTGGAGTACAAGAGACAGAAGTAGCAGAATCTCACACCTTTGTGTGATTTGTCCTTTCCAAATTAAATACTAAACCCAGCTCCAAAACAAATTCAGTTCTCCTGCTTACACTGCACCAGTGGGTCCATTTCTGACCCCTGCGTGCCTTAAAAAGAGCACAAGTCCTTGGCACCTGTGTAAGTTATACATGATACATGAATTTTTGAACAAGAGATTCACATAAACCAACTAAACCCACTGCAATTGCTGTGTGAAGCTGTGTTTAAGTTAATGCCTATAAGTTGAGAGGAATGACAAATCCTTAGGCCACACCTGGACTTCTGAGGGACCAGTTCTTGGACGTGAGAGTTGGTGTCCCTCAGATCATATATCATGATAGAGCCGTTGACCAATCCAGCATAGACATAGTTTGTATCATCGAGACACCAGCAGCAGCTCCAGACAGGACGGCCAGCATTGTATGTCTGCACCACAGTGTTGGTTGCCAAGCTGCAGAAGAAAAGCAAAGTGTTGGCTGGTTGCACAAGCATCTACTGATGAGAAAAAAGCATAATTAAGGTAAGCAAATCTAGCTTTTTAAAGTCTTTAGACAGAAGCATCTCTCTTTAGACTGAATTCTCAATTAACTCCTTTACTCCAGACGTGAATCTGGAAAATCTAAACAGAATAATCCCTTGGATATTGTCAAGTGATTTATAATTCTTCCAGGCCAATGCTTCTTTTTCCAGATTGATCTTTGGAGACTGGGAGAGGAAATCTCACAGCAGGGTCTCAGCTGCCTTACTGGCAAGAGAAAGCCAAGTTACTTTTCTGGAAACAATTAGGAGAAGCAACTCTGGTGTGATCCCGTAACACCACATATTCCTGAGATCACAGGGCTCATCTCTTCAGATTACATCTCTCATTAATTACTTCCCCTCTTTTTACACAAGAGGAACAGTGCTTATGCCTCAAAAGAACCATTTAAACAAGAGTGAGACAGGGAGTGGGTAAAGGACAGTTGAGAGCACATTTATAGTGTTAATTCTTCCTTCCACAAATCGAGTTTCTAAAAAAGAGAGGAGTACACAGAGGAGCATAACCCAGAACAGCAGATGAAGCTGGTATCAGATCAGGGATTTGCAAAGGGCAGCATTGTCAACGTGGGTTTTGCACACTGAGAACAGCATGAGACAGAAGACAGCACATATCAAAGTAACTCTGGATATCCTTTACAACATGGGCTTCTCCCTGGGGAAGGTGATTACACTCAGGACTCCAGAGAAACAAATAATTGCTCTCAGGTGAGTATAAGGGGAAAAACTACAAGGACATAGGCTGTAAATTCTAACAGGACCGGACACATTTTTGTCTCACTCTCTGGATAATTAGTCTCCAACCTGCTGGTTTAAGTCTCTGCTAGCTCTAGAGAGCCTCTGGCACATGCTGTTTATGAGTTTCATATCCCAGATGAATTCCATGCTCTGCAAGAAGTTTAAAATCTGAGAAGCCAACATCAGGCTGTGCAAAAAAAAACAGACCACAAGCTAAACACCCCTTGTTCTACTTTATCCTGTATAAGTTCCTACACTTCACATTTCCCTGCAGTAACAGAAAGCCACGTGGACAGTAAATGTCATGTCTATACATTATGCTACATTTATTCTCTCCACAACTTGGCCAATCCATGTTAAATTACTTGTTCTCCACCGAGTTCTCCACAGGAAAATTATCACGGAGAGGCAGCTCTGTAACACCTCCACCTAAAAGATGCAAAACCATCAATAAGTCCCTCCCTCTCTTAGCTCCCACATGCTGGAAGAATACCCAGACCTGCTCTCATCTTTGCAGCATCTTTCAGAAAGCAGACTCTAGCAAGTGCTGCAAGACATTTCCAGCAAGACAGAACAAAATGCAACGCAGCCAAAGCCCGCGGGGACGGGGCTCACCTGGTGAGTTTGAGAGTTCCGTCCAGAGCAGCCGAGAGCAGCAAACCATCCGCTCGAGTGCCGAAAGCCAGGCCCCGGATCTGCTTGCTGTGGATGGGGACGTACTGACTGCTCTTCAGGTTGGCCAAGCTCATCATCTTAACACCACAACCTGCCACAGAAGAAAGGTAAAGCAGGTCATGGTGAAGCAGCACACACACAGGACTGGCTGTTCTGTGCCAGAACTGCAGTGTGTGTACTGCCCGAAGCCTGTGGTGGGATGAACACGTAAAAGTTATTTGCTGTTCTGAATAAGAATAAAATCATTCTTTAATTCAAATGGTAACAAGGCTAAATCCTTAAGGACCCCAGTCACCAAGAGCAAATTCAGTATCACTGTTACAACTCCTGTTACAAGGCCTGCTGCTCTTTAGCCAGCTTCTTCAAAGACACCCTTACCCAGATAAAACCACCCAGAGCAGGATTACATGGCTATTTAAGAGAACAAGTGTCACAGCAAAGAATGGTTACAGGTGAACTTAACCTGTGTGCTACAAGAGTCACCACAAAGCCTCCATTCATTCATTCCTTGGCCTCAAATGCCAGAAAAATAAGACCAGTTGAATGCAGAAAACCACTTTGTTCTGCCTGGATAAGGCACATTAACCTCAAACCCATTAACCAAATAAAGTAAGTTTCATCATTCAGAAAGCATTTTGCAAATAAACACTCTCAGACTCCTAATGCCACATCTATTGCCCTGAAAAAGCAACTGGCGCTGGTCCAGATGTCAGGTCACTGGCCCCTGGACATAACAGTGAGACAAAACCAGGGCTGCTCATGACTTCTTGGCTTCCTATTTCCTCTTTAGAAAACAGTGCTCCTAGCATTCATATTAAAAGCGTTTTGCTTTTGGGGTTTTGTGTGGGTTTTTTTGTCGTTGTTGTTTTTTGGGGTTTTTTTTTTAAGAGTATTGAGAAATCAGCTGCATGTGGATCAATCCACCTACAGTTTGGGGAGCAGTGTTTCTCATTTAACCACTGGAAGCTTCTCTTCTTTCAGAAGACCCACCTATGCAAAGAGTACCAGATACATGTTTTGCCTTCTTGTGGATATGGCACTCCAGCAGGAGAGCCAGAGACCCTCTGCTAGGATTCTGCCATAGAAGTGCCAGGGGAAAGGAGCTTCTTTGCTAGGCAGAAGCTACCAAAGCAGGGGCAGATGAATTAGGGGGAGTGTTATGAGTATACTCAGTTTACAAGGCACATGCAAAGGTCAAGCAGAGAAGCAGGGAGCAACAAAAAAAGACATTTAACTTTCACTTATGAACCTCCAAATCTTAACTTGCTTAATTACCGGGAATGAAAGTAGACTGTGGAGAAGGCTGTGACACCACAAGGCAGCTCATGGAGTCACAGTATGCCATCACTCGGCAGTTCCCAGCCTGAGACACCAACAAAACCTTTTCCAAGTGGTACTTGTGCTGGCTCTGGCTGGAGGGGAGGCTCCCTGGGAGGCAGGGGCGGGAGCTGCCGGGTTGCTGCGAAGTGCTCACGTTGTGCTGGGCCACCAGAGCCTTCAGCTCCTGCAAAGACAAAGCCCCAAGAGCTTTAAATGCATCACCAGCGACGTAACCTGCCGTGCTACCTGCTCCAGATGCTCCAAGTGTACTTGTTCTCAGACAAAGGGGGGAAATATGGTCCCATTTCCATGCTGTTCCTGAAGGGCTGCATTTCTAAGCCCGTGGCCTGTGACAGTGAGCAACAGAAGCATTCAAATGCTACACAAATCCTGGCAGAATGTACTCAAAGTCTGTTATTGTGTGTATTACACCCCGTGAAAGAGAGGACTCTTGGGCAACACATAAAAGCCAGTACCAATTACCAGATCAATGCTGTCTAGAAGAGAATGAACTGCCAAGTATTATGTGCCGCTAAACCACAAGAGAAAGTCAATTAAAACCATTTTCCAGAATTTCCAGAATACCCCATAAAAAAATAAAAGCCCGAGTTTCAACATAAAGGGCATTGCAGGAAACAAGTCAGTCTATTTAATGACGATGATCCTGTTCTTGTAAAGCCTGGGCAGCAAATTCCAGGAATGACACAACTCTCAAGAGCTCCAGTCCTGTTTTCCACCACCTCCTCCCCCCTTCTTCCTCCACCTCAACTGATGAATGCTCAAGGATGCTCAGCAAAGGCATGGCCAAGAACAGCTTCCACTGGCAGCAAGGTATTCCTTGAATTCCTTTTTCTACAGAGATCATCAGGGGTGAGGTGAGAATTCAGGTAGTGCCACTGGCATATTGTGAGTCACCTAAAAGTGCACCCTCCCCAAAAGCATTTTGACCATCCTTTATCCAAGGTCAAAACCAGATGGTAGAGAACCCCAGTTACCTTTAGGACAGAGGGTATATATAAAGAAAATTGCTACTTGCTTTCTGTTGTCTGAGCAACGCAGATTAGGCTTCAAACACTATGTAATCTTTAAACAATTAAGGGCCACAAGAGTGATATTATGAATATATCAGTAATTGCAAGTCAGCCTCAACACTGAACCAGCCACCACTGCTTAACTCACATTGAAGCAGAGGCAGCAGTTTTCAGAGAGGCAAGATCAAAGATCAAGCTCTACATTAATAGTTATCAAGACCTATAACTTTTGGAAACTGCTCAAGAGGAGAGCAATTCTGACACCTTACAGACATCTGATCTGCTTTGCATCAAGTGCACTGCAAATTAAAACAAAATTAATTTAAAAATTAAAAACAAAATAAAAATCGAAGCTGAAGTCTCGAGATGATCCCATTGGAGTGAGCAATGCAAAACACCCTGGGCAAGGAAGAAAGGGTGTGGGGGTTGCCAGGATGCTTAAGATGGAAGCTACAGCTTCAGGCTTAGAGTAAGCACTCAGTGAAAACACAGGTAACTTAGAAGAAAGTTACTTTTAATCAAAAATTTAATAAACTCATTATTTCTAAAAGGGGGATGGAGGCAATCACCACTGAGGATCAGAAGAGATTAAAATTATTTGTTGCTCTGGGGACCTTACAAAACTCTCCTTGTCACCTGCACTCAACATTCAACTTTTAATTAAAGTAATTAAACAGGAAACCAGGCAATTAAAATCACAAAGACTATTAGTACAATGTTTACATTTAAACACAATGGACAAACCCAGCAGAATCAGGAAGTCTGACTGGAAGCACATTACCAAGGTGATTAAAAATGCTGCACTCCAGACGAATTCCACTAATTGTGCTCAAAGGAACATTCTGTTGGTAAAGTAAAGCTACACCTTCCTTTAGATGCTTTGCAGAGTTCTCCTCATGCCTGGTGTTAACTAAGGGCCTTGAGGGCAGACTCCACTCTCTGCACACGCTATGACTGTCTCTAAATTTCAGCTTGCCCTTGCAGTGATGAATGAACACAGTCACACAGGTGGGGAAACACGAGGCTGTACAGCAGAAGTCTTCCTGAGGAACGTGCATGAGAAGCAGAAGCAGGAGAGCTCAATGAATAGGGAAGGAAACCCACCAGCTGCAATAAATTCAGAACAGTTTTGAGTATTGGGTTACAGCCTTAATAGCTGATATGAAGCTTTAAAGACAAAGGCAGGTATCAGATGTCACTCTGGCTGTCTCCCACAGACCTCTCAGAGAGGCCACACCTGCCACCTTGGCTGCACAGCCCCAGTCCTGCAGCAAAGAGACAGAAACACAGGCCAGGACAACCTCCAGCTGTGGTGCAGCACTGCAGCCATCCCACCTTCCACCTTCCTTTGGGGCTCAGCTTCAGATTCAGGCTAAGGGACATGGAGCATTTTTACCTGGCTTAACTACAAGCAACAGCAACGAAATATCAGCTTTTACTACCCCAGACATCAACTGGAGGTGAACACAAAGATCATAGAGATGAACAAAACCATTAGCCTAATTTCTTTTCTAGAGGTATTAGATACACAAGTTTTTATTGATATTTTGCCATCCAATTTTTTTGGATGCTCTGAAAATCCTATTTTAAACATGCTTTTCCATTACATTGAGCAATATAAACTAATCTCTGCAAGGCTCACAATTATATTTGCTTTCTTCTCCACAGCAGCCTGCAGTCTCCTGTTGTTCCCCTGCTAGTCATCCTTTTCCTGCTCCATATCCAAACAGAGCTACTGCTTCCCACTTGCAAAAATAAATCTCTTATCCCAGCTGATTAATGCCAGAAGCCAGAGATGGTTTGCTGATCATTAGCTAACTTTTACTGGAAACGTTGGCAGATTCAGGAGTCCTGCAGTAGCTCAGATCCGATTCCCAAGTTCTTTCTGCTGCCAAAGGAAAAACTTTAGGTAAAAGTAAGGTGGCAGTAGCACTGTTTCCAAAAGTCAAGCCTGAACCTGCCATACAGGATGCAGAACACAGCTCAGCACAGCCCACACTCCAGGTTTACATATGGAAACACTGCTGAGGGCTTTCTTCCAGAGCTTTAGTTAGCTACCTCCCCTCAACTTCCTTTCCTCATATATTTTCATATAGCTAAAGACTTAAAAACCATCCATGTCCTAGTGCCAATCATGTTAAATACCTCAATAACAAAGCACAGTGGACAAGATGGTTAATGGACAAGAGCAGTGAAAAACACACACAAACCTAAGGAAAGGTCACAGCTAGAGCCATGACTGCTGCTGGGGCACAGCTCAAGAGCACTGGCAAGAAAAAAGGGTTCACAATGGCTTTTGGGGGGAGTCCACACCCTGAGCAACCCAACCCTACACTGCAATCACCCCATTAGGGTTGGGACAGAAACCTCCAGGGGTCCCTCCCAATCTAAATGCTTCTGTGAAAGTAGTTTCTTTACTACATGACTTCTCATAAAACAAGAAATTTGATAGGCATATGCTTAAAATATCATTGAACAACTTAAAGACTTATTCCAGGCTTCCTGCTGATTTTTCTTTTTGCTCCCCAGCAAACTGTTTTACTTTCAGTTTGTACTTTCAGTATAAACAAGCACCTTAAAAATTGCTTCCAGCATTTGCATTAAGCACTACAGGACAGTGATGAATGCAGTATAAATACTGAAACAGAGCTTATAGAACACAGGGTACTTAATCTTTATAACATGCGACTTCAACTCAGACTGGATACTCTATCATTTAACACCAAATGAATTGCAGGAGAACATTATGGACCTGCACTTCTATCTTATTCGCATTTTTCTTAAGCCAAAGCTTGAAGTGGACCAATTTTCTCATTAGTGCTGATGAGCATACAGCTCCATGCAGGAATTTAGGTGATTTATAAAGCCTTATCTTACATGAGGCAGGAAAACATCAGCAAAGAGGATGGTGTTTAATGTACAGATATGAATAGCCAAGGCTACAAAGAAATCCAGGAGTAAAGAAAAGCATAATATTAAGTGGGTTACTAGACAGTGAGAGAATAGATATCATCTACTCATATAACTCAAGGTAGCAAACTGGCAATGAAACAGGCTCATGGAAAACTCAGCACTGGTGGAACACGCCAGCTAACACTTGGAAGCACCAGCATAGTCCACAACTTATAGGAATCCTGCAAAAGCAGCTGGGATGGGTTACAAAGTACCTCAGTATTGCACAAGGCAGAAAGGAAGCAGTTTAGCAACTGGTAATTTATTGTGAGTAATTTGCATTCTAAGAGGGCAGAGGTGCCTTTCAGCAGCTGCTCAGTCCGTGCATACAGCCTCCCCTACTGACAGGCCAGGTCCCAGGGTACCAGGAGGTGCTCAACTAGAATGCTGACTGACTTTAAAAAAAAAAAAAAAAAATTAGGTGTTTTTATGTTTTGTTTTCTCTTGATTTTGCAAATGCATACCTCTTGACAAACTGCTTCTCAAAAAATTATTCTTGAGAATAATTACTGATAACAGGTCCTATTACAGGTTTAACTGTAGAGATTTTTCAAAGATTCTTTTGATGCAACCACAAGAAAGATGAGGAGAATAAGTCTGGTTCTCCATTACCAGGCCTTTCCAGGCACCACAAAACCTGAAGAGGAACCTGCAACATCAGTAGGCAAACAACTCTACTGCTAGGTTGCAGCTTCAATTAAGTCTTAAATGCACAAAAAATAAGTCAGTGTTCTGTAGCACATACCTCAATATGCCAGCCTGAGATATTTACCAGGCCAAGATGATTCACCAACTGAGTTTACTAAATCTTTCTGCTCATTAAAACTGGAAGCCTGTGTTTTCTCCTCCAAGGGAACATGCAAAACCAGGTTGAAGTAAAGGGAATCCTTTGTGTATAAATATCCTGAGACTCACCTGAACTTGCCTGCGGAGTTTGCTGCATTCATCCGTCAAAACCTGGAGCTGGAGACGGCTCTGCGCAGATTCCAGCTCCGCCTGTCTCCGCAACATCTTCTCCTTCTCTAAAGAGCTGGAGGAAGAAGAGAAAAGCAACCCTCAGGACTAGGTATTATCCAGGATGCTCCTCTGGGCTGTCAACACCTGTCCTCTGACTTCATCCCAACACAGGTCCTGTTCAGGCAAATCCACAAGTAACAGAAAACCCGGTACCGCACTCACCCAGCACACTCACCTCGAGATGTGCAGTTATGCAAGTGCTCTGAATGACTCACTCAAGTATTGTTCCATAGGAACAACAGGCTTTCTCCTCACCATCTTCAAAAGTACTAATTTAGTAGAGGAGAGCGAAAGAGAAATCAGGTTTTCTTTCCCCTAAGAAACACTTCAGCAAATCCTATGTCATCAATGTCCACGTAATGTACTGTGTCAGTAATAACTGAAGTCAAAACACAGCAAGATTTTCAAGCTTGTCTCTACTATCAGTAACTAATCTTGTATTTCAAGAAAATATAACTGTAACAGAAACAGAACGATACAGAAAAATTCTCTGTGAATACCCATTTATAAATAAGCCACACTTACTATCTCACCTTGAGCCTAAAAGTGCATACACACCATTTAGCAGCAGCAGCTTTGCTAACTTACTTGAACTCCTTTTTCATACAGGCTTATATGAAGGGATAGTTAAAGAGGAGGAAGAAACACCAGTACTCTTTAAAAATAGCTGTACTTTTAGACTATAATGTTGACCACTGCACTCTGCACTTTAAAAGCTGCAATATTCCAGTTATTTCAGTAGTTCATGTGCAGGGAGCTGTAGCTTGCCTGAGTATTTTCCAAATGCACAGACCTAGCCTTGCATGTTCAGAAAGCACAGAATTCTGTCATTTCCATATGGCTTTTTCATGTGATTTTTTTTTCCTGCAGAAGAAACAGCTGAAATGCTGTATTTAAGCATCACAAACACATTCTTTACACAAGTACCCAGGGCCTGAAGGCTGGTGGTTTTTACTGATAATGTGAAAAACAAACCCCACGATCTTATACCTAATTCAAGGCTACATGCAAACAATACTGATGCATGCACACACACATCCCTGCTCCAGTCGTGGCTGTGTGCCACCAAGCAGCCACTGCCAGCAGCTCCATGACCCACAGGCAATCACTGCTGTCTGCCTCACAACAAAAACAGGAGGCAGAGGAGGGGCAGGGCAAGGGGGAAGGGCTGCAGTGAGATTGAGACACAAGCAGCAGTCAGACAAATGGCTCTCCACGAGAGATAAAATGTAAACACCCTCCTGTGCTTTTGAAAAAAATCTTACATGTCCTTTATTTTGCAGTGTCAATCCAGTAAAAGCAGCGTGACCCTTCTAAAGGTACAGCTGAAACACCATCAGGCAGTGTCAATCTGGACAGAAGAGAGATTTTTTCCTCCATGACCCTTACTCCTCAATCATTTCTGATCAATAATTACCAGGATACTGAGGTTTCTGTTGAAAGACTGCCTTGAAATAACAGTGCTATAGTTACAGACACGTGAAGAAACCCCAATTAAATTCTATTCACCACAAGATTCAGGAGAACTCTGATATCTGCAGCCTTTAATTTCAGAACAGTATCTGTGACAACATCTTACTGAAAAAAAATTCATCCCCTGCTTTTTCTTTTTTCAATGCAAAGTCCACATTTAAGTTGGAAGGGGAAGTAGAGTCATAGTTATGCTTGCTGACCTTTTGTAAGTAAAGCTACATGAAGAGTTTGACAAAGCAAGATGGGAAGTGATTCATGAGCGACTACTCTGTGTAATGTGTGCAGAAAAGATGGCAGAAAAGGTCAGCTATTCACCCCTTGCATTCCTAACTATGCCTCACTCTTCCCACCTAATGATGAATTAGCAACATACAGCTTTTTGGCATCAGCTCTGCATGTCCTCCCATGATAACATGATAACACAGCCCAAATGCAAACTTGAGAATTCTGTTCCAAAAGAAAATTAAGACAGGTGCAACACAGCAAGGCCTTGTTGTTTTTTTTTTTTAAGCCAGCCATACTCCTGATAAACCTCGAGGGAAGGCACAAATTGCTTTAGACGATAGAGGAAATTAAAGCATGAAGCAGAAGCCAGAGTGCAGCTTCCAGTACCTTCTCATGCGCTCCTGCTCACTGGTGTCCAGCGCCTTCAGCGTGCGGGCGTACAGGACCACGATGTCCGAGCGCTTGGCTTTCTTATTGCACTGCAATAAAAGACAAGCTCAGGTCACCCACAAGAACTTAACTATCCAAACTGTGCATCCCCAGCAAAATTTTTGGAAAATCCTTGTAGCTTTGAAGGGAGGGGCTGTCTACTGGACGACAAATCCACAAACATTCACACAGCACGTTTGCAAGACGCTCACCCACACGGACACCAGAGCTCTAGTCGGGGCTACAACAATAGTTTAGGTCACATATCCTGTTGCACCTTTAATAATCCATCTCCTTGCTTCCCATTAAATTTATTCTGCTAACACACCAGCAATGCAGCATCATCAGGTAAGTTCCTGGGATGAAATAAAACAAAACCAAACAAAGAAGGGGAAGAAAATACATCTAAACCAAAACACTAGCCCAATCCCTGGTTTGAAAACACCAAGATGGGCTGTTTGTCCAACAGACAAGGATTTAGGAACCCCTGAGCACACTCCCAACTCTGTTATTTCTGTACTAATCAAACCCTACGGGCACAAATACATAAAAGCATTCCAGTGTGAGCATGAAACACTGACATCCCACTGATTTCAGTGACACATGGGGAGTCAGATATTTCAATTATTTTGTGCATCTAGCTGCAATGATTTAATACTTTAGATTCACCTTAAAAAGAAGGGATAGTACTCCCCTCTCGAGTCAGGAACTGAAGATGCCATAATTTCCTCCAAGCTTACTGTTTCACAAATACACTTTGTTGATCAGAAAAGAGGCGGTGAATACTCAGATCAAGTAACCTCTGCTGAACATTAAATTACTATGTGTGCTTCAAATGCAGACCCCTCTATTATTTAGTAGCACGAAGATATCCCAGGCAATAGTTTCAGATCAGACAACCCCCCTCCCTTCATAAAGAGCTGCCTTGCAGAGCAGTAAGTGGCTAAGACAGTTTTCCTGGCAGCCAGCAGCTGTCACTGGCAGGATCAGGAATGCTGCAATTTCACAGTAACTTGCACTCAAGCCACTTAGTATACAGAGCACCATGCACAGCAACTCTGGGCTATTCAACCAGAGAATGCCCAGCCACAAAGGACAGCGACTGAAAATGAGGGGAAGGGGATTTTGCTGCAAGGTTCTCTCCAGAGTAAGTTCTCCCAGGAATTTTTTATTAATTATATCACTGGAAGAGAAAGAGGGAGCAAGCACCCCTTGTGAGCTGTTAGGGTTCAAGAAGAAAGCAGTCACAAATTTCCAAAGACTAAAGATGTCAGGCAGGTCTCTGAGAGTACTCTCTGGGCCTGGAGTGGGGAAAGAAAAGCTTACACAGAATTGACAGGGATAAGAAAAATCAGCTTTGGGCCTTCACTATGGCAACAGTGATTCTTTAGGTTTAATCACAATGCACAACAGTAGGAAGTTTCTTGTTGAGAGGAGGGAATCCTGCACAAAGTCAAGCAAGAATACAGAAGCTCTCAAAATGACAAAGCCAAAGAAATCCTGGGCTTCCAGCCACCAACTTGGAAAAAGGCAGAACTGAATCCTATTTACAAGGTTCTCATTGACCTATTTTTTGTCAACATTCCTTTCTGGAGAAAAGGAGTAAGGAATGGAAGCACGTCACAGACACAGAGAAGTGCAGGCCTCATCGAAAGAGATTAGTATTAACCATGGAAAGCAAGCTGAAAAGAGCACCTTCAAAAGCTGATTTACCACTTGCAAGTGGACATTAAAGGATGCAACTTAGTTCTCAGTTCGCTTTCTGCAAGTTTCCTAAACAACCTGGTCCTCCTAAAGGCTGCAAAAGCAGATCAGTTCAAAACAGAAGATTAACCAACTGAAAACTAGACTTTAAAGTCCCTTCCAACCCCAACCACTCTATGGTTCTAAAACAGTTCTCAGACAGATTTCTTGTCCAATAACATATTCCCTAAGGTGAGTTAATTGCTTCTAAGAATCTGCTGCTTCCACTCCAGGTGGTCCTCTCCAGGTCTTTAGTGGGGTGTTATGAAACCATTTACAGGTTTAGCACTTGCAGTCTCAAACTTCTGTGTCTCCTACTCACAAATACTCTACTTCAGGGAGAAAACCCAGGTCATAACTCATCCTTTAAAGCAGTGCTAGTTGTTCCTGGCCTAGTAACATCAAAGTAATGGTGGGTTTTGTTATTTCTGACAGCAGCTTCACACAGCAAGCAGCTGTACCAGTCAAGGGTGAGCGCTCCTGCAGCAGAATGTACCCAACAGCAAGTGCTTTCCAGTGCATGTAAATGCCCATTTTACCTGAGGGCACTTCCCTGCCTGCCCCCTGAGCCACCTCTCAATGCAGGTGTAGCCAAAGAGGTGCCCACAGCGCAGTGCTGACAGACGGTGCTCCCCAGCATTGGTCCACTGCTCAAAGCAGATGGCACACGTGTCTCCTTCCTCCTCATCCAGCCGTGCTGCAGGAACTGAGGGCTCCACTTCCTTCAGAGGAGTTCTCTAGGATTAAAAATTGAAAAAAACACAACACAACTGTTTTAGAAAGTGCGGCATTTATCATATATCATCTGTCCCCAAAAGCATTTAGTTCACTTTACCTGCTTTTGCTGGACTTCAGCCTCTTCATCTTCATGACTTCCATGTTCTGCAGAAGCTTGAGACAAAGCTTGAGGCAGCTCTGCTTCGGCCTGACTGGAAGCTAAAGAGAGCATTGCTTAAATGAACTGATACCTTATGGGAGAAAAGGAGTTCTCCTGCTTTGATGTGAAAGCACTGGGGCATGGGTTAAGCAGTGCAACAACAGCACAGGTTACAAAAGTTTGAGATCAGTGCCCTGGACACTGTCTGTGTGCAAGCCCTTCTACACATCAACAGCACTGCTAAAGAACTGTATATTTTCTTTTACAAAAAGCAAGAGAATTTCAGTGAAAAAGGAGAGGTCTTCAAAGGACAGCAGTTGCTATCAGAATGTTCTGACCTGCATGAAACAGAGCTGGTCCATGGTCAGGCTCATTTAAGGTTATATCCCTGCACCATTGCACCCTGAGAAAGACAGACACCAATATGCAGAAGTTGCTTTGCCAAGGGATCTAAGCATGCATATTTCATGTGCCAAGAAAGCATTTCCTGCATGCTGGTTGTCCGTTCACTCTGACTTAAGCAGTTTTCCAGCTGATAATTGTCTGAACTACCAATTCTGCTGGGCTGTGTGTTTTTGTGCTGGGCTCTGTCAGCCTGTTGAGGCACAGGTGCACAAAACTATGTGTGGATCAACACCACAAACAGACTGGAAAGGGAGCAGAAATCACTGCCTCCCCTCTAGCTCCTGACCAAACAAGAGTTATTCATCACATTTAGTAATCGAGGCAGATATTTTCAATGCAGTGGAGGTATCCCCTAACCCTGGCTAATGCCAATAAAGTTTTCAGCCTCAGCAGTTCTGGGCTGTAAGAGAAGCCAGTGGCTTATATAAGCAACAAGGGAATTCCAGAAAATCCAACAGAGAGCATATGCTCACACAATATTGTACAGCACTTAACAGCTTGAGCTCCTGTCACATGTAAGACTAGCCCAGAATGGATCTGTTCAGAAGACACCTCATAGATGTACCCTTACAAAAAAGGTAACAAGGTGGGCTGGCCAATTAAAACCAAAAGTGAGGGCAGAGAGTGAATCATAAGGACATTCCTTAGAGATTGAAGTAAAAAAAAAAGAAATAACCTTGCTCTTGTATTCTCTAGGTATCAGTAACCTTGACTAGCAAGTAAACTATTTGTCACTCTTACATAAACTGTGCATGTTCACCACAAACAATGTCACTGAAGTGTGTGGCAGGCTGTGAACACGAGTTTGGATAAAGAATTGCGAGCCAGAAAAAGATGAGGAAAGAAAAAGACAAAAAAACCAAACTACACCTCCATCTCCTCAGCTAAGTGTCACAAGAAGTTACAGGAATGCAAAAGAAAACTCTAAACCAGAGCAGACTAAAATCTCAAATAATTAAATACTGAATCAGACCCTTATCTGAAAGCATTGCTGATCTCCAAACTGCGACCTGATGTCTTCAATAATGCTTCTTGATAATATATAACAACGGGAACAAGGCAAGCAATAATCTCTAAATTTGAAGTTATAAATAATCCTGGAAATGTCCAGAATAAGTAGCAGCCTGAAGACAGCAAAAAAGATTGTATCTAATACTACAGCAGCAATCACCCATTGCTCCTGCTGCTGCTGCTCTTGGGAACTGCTTGCCAGAAAGCTGTGTGGCAGCAACCTGCTTCTGTCAGCTCTGGGCACAGTGATCTCTGAGCACCGTCTGTTGTGCAGCTCCAAAGGATTTCCCTGCTGAGGTTTCAAACAGCAAGAAGAGTGTCTGAAATCAGTCTCTACACGGCTCAGATACAGCACAAACCTCCTGAGGTCGCTGCTGGAGGTGTCTCCTGGGCTGGAGCCTCCACCACATCCTCCTCCTCAGCAGAAGAGCTGCTGTCAGAGTCACTCCCTTCTCCTGTTTCGTCTGGGCTCTGCTCCTGGTTGTCTCTCGCAAGGCGCGAGGGCTCCGGGTGTGGAACGGGTCCTGCAGCTGGCACTTGGGTCCTGCTGAGTTGAAAGTAATGGTCCAATGCTGCCCTGAGCCCAGAAAAGCAAGAAACAAAAGCCACAGTTATTTTCAGGTAATTTCAGGTAAGCTAAAGACTCACCATGTTTCTCCATGACTGTTTGCAGTAAAGTTCCCAGGCTTTGACTGCAGCAGGAACACATCACAGTTATCAAGTCAGACCTTCTCTGGTAGGGGGGAAATCTCCTGCAATAGCCCACTTTGTGAACTACCAGCAGGATCAGCAACAATTCCTTTTGCTCAGCTCAAAGAAAATCTGCTTCTCATTACAATGATATTGCCTTCTTTTGGGGTGGGGGGGTTGGAGAGGAGAAAAGCAAAGTAAGTATCTTTCAGTAATAAGCCTGAGGAACTCCTAATCAGTCTCTCCAACCCCAACTCAGTCCTGGTTCCTGCAGCCATTAGTGCAAGGCTTGTATGAGAGTCGCATTCCATTGACTACTTTGTGCCTAGTCTTTCTACCTTCCTTCTTCTTTTCTACTGGAACTTCATGCCTGGATAGAAACACCCTCTCCACTCCCCCCATCAGTTCAGCTATCATCTCAATTATCCTTCAGATTCAAAGAGTTTTTGGGTTGCCTTATAGCCCTGAGAACTACAGTGACCTTCACATGCAATCCCAGGGCAAACATACAGTTCTGTTTAATTAACTGGGAGGAGAGGAGCTCTTGGTCTCATTGAATTTAAAGGCAATGCTTCAGTTAATTATAATTTCACCCTTGGCATTTACAAAAGCTACAAAGATGAGACAAAAACCAAACAAACCAGAAACTGGGATTTTTTTCTAGCTGCAGAGCATCCCCACTCATCACCTTTTTAATCCACTGTGAATGGTATTAAACACAGAATATTTTTTCTTTGTCTGAAAAAACACAAGGATGGCGTGGAAAACAAAACAAAACAAAACCAACAAAAACAACCCTACAGAAAAATATCAGTTTATATGTTTGTCAAAGTTTCTGCAGCAATTGTCACCAGAAAATGTAATCAGGCAGTCCCCAAATCAAAGGTGAAATGCAAATCAGAGCACAAGCTCCACTGAGCTAAGTGCTGGCTGGAACTGCTGAGAGTCAGCACTGCTGCAGGAAGCACTGGCAGGAATCTGCCTGTGCAGGGGGAACGATGCAAGCAGAAGCTCTGCAAGGAAAATTAAAAGTGTAGAAGGGCTCAGGAGTTAACACCACCACTGCCACCATATGAAACAGGGGGATTCACTTAACAAAAGCGAAGACCCTGCCAGAAGAGATCAGAAGTTTTTGTGCTACTACTGGCAGGTGAGGTGCCCTGAATTTGGCCACAGCCACACACTGGGCTGGGCTCTGTGAGCCAGGAAGCAAGGCAGTTTTGAACTGAGGCTGGACTTGATCAGAGTGCAGTTTGGACCCAGTTTCATCTCTGCTGTACCTGGCACTGACTGTCCTTTGGGAACCACCGACTCTGTGCTGCCTGCGAGCTCTCCCCGCCTGCGGGCGCTGTGTGAGCTGAGGCAGCGCCAAGGGCTGATTGGGATCCAGCGTCCCTTGGAGCCTCTGCAGCCCCCTGAGGGCAGGACTCAGCGGCGGGTCAGGCTCTGCAGCTGCTTCCCTTGTTGTACCAGGGTTTGGTGTGACAACAGCGTCATCAGCAGGAAGGACTGCAGCGCTGCCTCCTCCGTCACCGAGCACGGGAGCGTGGGATGACAGCCCTGCATGGCCAGAGGGCTCCGTGGGATGGGATGACAGCCCTGCATGGCCAGAGGGCTCCGTGGGATGGGATGACAGCCCTGCATGGCCAGAGGGCTCCGTGGGATGGGATGACAGCCCTGCATGGCCAGAGGGCTCCATGGGAAGCGTCCTGAGGTTCTCCACTGGGTAACCAGCCACGATTTGGAGATCAACTTCCATCTCTTCTTGAGCCATTTCTGCAAAGAGTTGAAGAGAACTAGTATTTATTTGCAAGTGTGCACCCTACTTCTAACCTGCTGGTAGCAAGAACCAGGTGCAGCAGTCAGTGACTACAAAAGCCTTTAGAATTCAGAGCAGAGAGAAAATTTGTCCTTTTGCAGCAGAACAAAACCACCACAAGTCAATACACGTACATGAGCTGGCACAGCAGGCAGCACCCTCCCACAGTCCTGGGCTCCAAGTTTGTGCCTCAATAACACCTAACACCAAAGGCACACTGCAAAATCAACTTAAATAAGCATTTGGATGAACATGGAAAGTTAAGGTTTTCTTGCTGGCATCATTTACTTGCCAATAAATTCATGTGGATCTTGGAGAAGAGAATTTGGAAATATTTGAGATACTCTCCCTGGTGAGCATCACAAGCACCAGCAGATACAGCCAGAAACAAGCTCTACGATGCAGTCCTATGCTGCACTGCCCAGGAGGTGGCTTCACTGTCAAGGTTCTCTGAATAAAATTCCATTATAGTAACAGATCAGCTCGCTGAGCAGCCCTTCAGGCATTCACCAACACCAGGCAAACCCAGAAAGGGCATCACAGCAGACCCCATGACTGTAAATGAGACATTACAGGTACCAAGTTACCCACAGCACCAGCATTTGTGGATCCACATTCAGCCCGAGGCTGGATAAACATGAAATTTGCAGTAGGACTGTACCTATGTTATTAAGGATGTCTGTCCTGCCAACATCTTTGGGATATGGATTTTAGATTGCCTCCTAAACAGGAGTACTACCTTAGGTTTTGAAGAAAAACAGAGGAGACACAGGTTGTGCATTATTAATTCTTATGCTGCTGTCAGGCACCAGATTAGAGCCCTTTGGTCACACTGTTCCCTGGAGAGTCTGTGATGACCCACCCTTGAAGGGAAGGAAGTCTTACAACACAAAAAAGTTCAAGATTATTTCATTAACTGAACTAACAGATGCACCAAAAGCCCACAGAAGTCCTTTATTGGAAGAGGTGTGCGGATTAAATTCTGGAGGCTTCTGAAGGTAATTCACATTCTCCAAAAGTCCTTAAGGCATCATAAACCTGGAAGGCTTTGGGGATTGCAGACCTTTAGCATTATTTAGGAGCCCACAGCACACACCAAAACTTACCCATCTAGGCACTGTGCTCTGTTGAGCAAAGGCTGCTTTAAGTACAAAAATAGCTAGAAAATTTATACAGGAATTACTAGAGGGGGACATACTAGTGCTCAAATATTTTTATAGACCTTTGAAGAAATTTAACTTATGAGTCATTTCATAATTCTCATCCTAATTACCAATTCAGCCTAAGCTAGGCCAAAAATAGATGTTAAATGCCACCTCCTACCAGAACAGTTGCATGGCCAAGATATGATAATATTCTATGGTCAAGTACTGCTTTTCTAGCACTGTGCTCATGTTTGTGATAGAATTGCCACCTACAAGCATAAAACCCCCTTTATTTTCACCATGCATAGTTTCATAGAATGGGGTTGGAAAGGACCTTAAAGTCCCAACCCTGCCCCTGCCATGGGCAGGAACACCTTCCACCACACCGGGCTGTTCAAGGCCTCATCCAGCCTGGCCTGGAACACCTCCACGGTTGGGACATCCACAACCTCCCTGGGCAGCCAGTGTCTACGTTAACCGCGAGACTTAAAACATAACGATAACACCAGAAACTTTTCACCATTTAATCTTGGAATTTTCCCGAAAGGAGCCAAGGCCAGCGCTTCCCCCAGCCTGCCAGGCAGTCCCGGGGAGGGCCCGCACCAGGGGTGTCTCCACAAACAGGCGTTCCTGGGCCCAGACGAGACAATTCCCCCGCGCTTACAAACCTTGGGAGGCGACGCCACTGGCGGGCCCATCGCTCGCACCCGAGGGCTGAGGGCTGAAGCAGCAGCTTCCCCTCGCGGAGGGCACCCGGGCCCCGCTCCGCACCTCCCGCACGGATCACCCGCACCTGCTTCAGCACAGGTAACCAAAATCCACCCCAAACACCTCCCAGATGAACCACGCGCTCCACAAGCGGGGTTTTACTGCAGGCTTTTCACAGGGCTCGCGCGGTGCAGCGACGAACCGGTCACACGAAGGGCGCGGGACGTTCCCCCTCCCGGAGCCGCAGGCAGCCCGGGGGGGGGAGCGTGCTGTGCCGGGGGAAACGAGCCATGCTGTGGGCACCGGCTCGGGGGGAACAAGGCATGCCGGTGAAGCGGGACCGGGACTAGGACAGGGACTGGGACCCGGATTAGGGGACCGGCCCCCCTCGCTCACCTGCCGCCGGGCCGGGCCACACCGCCCGCTCGAGCGCCGCGCCGCCCCGCCCCCCTCGCCCTATTGGCTGCTCGCGACCTCCGCGCCAGCTCCTATTGGGCGAGCCCGAGCTAGTCCCGCCTTCTCATTGGCCAGGCGCTCTGTCCGTCTGTCTAACGGGACGGGCGGTGACGGGAACGAGCGGCGCGGAGGAAGAGCGTGCTGTGATTGGTCAGAGAGCCGAGGGAGGGCCCGGCTGATTGGGCAGCGAGGCCCCTGACGGCCAGAGGAGGCGGGGCAAGGGTCGTGGAGTGAGTTTTCATTGGCGGAGCCGCCGCGGGGCGAAAAGAGCGGGAATGCGAGTTCATTCAAAAAGGGGGGGGCGGGCGGGGCGTTGCCATGGCGACGGGAGCACCGTGCTGGGGGGTGCCCGGGGGGAGCGGGGGAAAACTCGGGGTCCGCAGCGCCCCAGGGGCAGCATCGGGCAGAGGAGAGTCACAGAGTGGGTCACGCTAGAAGGGACCGCAGTGGGTCATCGGGTCTAAGCTCCCTGCTCAAGCAGGGCCGTCCCAGAGCTCATGGCACAGGATTGCACCCAGATGCTTCTGGAATATGTCCAGTGAGGGAGACCCCACACCCTCTCTGGGTGATCTGTCCCGGTGCGTGGTCACCCCCACAGTAAAGAAGTTCTTCCATTTAGTGAGGTGGAACTTCCTGGGCATTGTTTTCTGCCCGTTGCCTCTGGTCCTGTTGCTGGGCACCCCCAAGCAGAACCTGGTCCATCCTCTGGCACCCTCCCTTCAGTCACTGATAGACATTGATGAGGTCCCCTCTCAGTCGTCTCCTGAGGTAACAGGCCCGGCTCCCTCAGCCTGTCCTTGTAAGAGATGTCTGTGTCCCATCCCTGTGGTCTCCCCAGGCTTCCTGCTGGCCTCCTTGAGTCCCCTGGGGGCAGAGCCTTGTCAGGGCGCCCTTGCCCCCCATGTGCCTCTGAGGTGACCCCCAGGTGTGGCCCCTCAGCGAGGGGAAGGTTGCACACAGACACAACACTCGTGTATTGAACCATCAGTCTCTGTGAGGGCGGAGGGGGGTGAGCAGCACCCCTGGGCTCGCTGCCCGTGGTCACCCAGCCCTGCTTTCCACAGTTAACTTCCTTGGCTCCTGCTTTTCTCCAGCTCAGCCAGCGAGTCCACGATCTCTGCAAAACACAGGGGTGGCGTTAATCAAAATGGAGTGTTTGTTATTGGCTGTTTGGGTTCTTTTTTTAAGAGATGAGAAGGTGGTGTTCTCTCACTGATAACAACCGGGACAGTCGTGCTCTCCTCGAGCCAGCACGAGTGGGTGCCATTAGCAGGGGACAGGCCTGGGCAGACACAGGGGAGTACAGCCCAGACAGAAGCAGCTGTGCATATGGAGAAACTCTTGGGAACAGCTGCAAGAAGCTGTTCTTCCAGCTCAGCACCACATGGTCATGGCTGGGTGCTGGAGTGGAGTCATATTAGAGTAATAAAGGCATGCTGTATCCTCATGCTGATTGCTGTTAAATCTTCTGGTAGAGACCACTTATTCATCTCATCAGACCCAGACCAACTTCAGAAACAGTGAAATCTTCCCTGCCAGGGAGCAATTCCCAAGATTGCAATTTATTGCTCAAAGCCCAAGGCAGGGATGTTCCTGCACAGTTTTGTGGATACTCCTCCAGCTTATGGGGTCTGCAGGACCTGAGTGGGGATTAACCCAGACAACCCTGCTCCCAGTTTGGTGCTTGTCTGAGAGAAAAAGCTACTCTTATGTGATGCCAAATGAACAGCCTGGTGATTATTGTCATGGCATGGGTAAACATTCAAGATATGAGGTTCAGTACTGGGGGATTTGTTAGCATAAGAGGGGAAGTCAAGGGTGAATCCCAAAACACAAACCCAGACAAATTCATATGGGAAATAAGGGAAAAATTGCCTGCAGAAGTAGCTGGTTGAGGGATACGAAGGGCCTGTGGAGCAGATGGTCAGGACACTCACCCTCGGCAGAAGGGCGCTGGGAAGGGTCCAAGGCCCGGCACTGGTCGATGACTCTCCGCAGGTCTGCAGGGCAATCCTCCCCAACAGGGTCCCAGTACTGGTGGTTGCAGATTTTCTCCACAATCTCCTCAGGAGTGCAGCCTAGACAACGTGTGTGCAAACAGGAGTGTCAGGATGGAGCTCTGCTGCCACAGGAGGGTGCTGGGGAGGAAACCCAGTGCAAGGCCATGCCAAGAGCCTTCCTACAGCCTATGGCACAGAGAAGCCAACAGGGAAGCAACCCACACTCCATCTGCAGTGAACCCCACAATATTTGGCACGATACTGTTGGGCTCCAGTGGAGCAGGGAGATGAGTTTATGCTTAAATGCACAGGAACATCGAATAGAAACAAAAATTATTTGCATGTTTGTGGTTTAAGCCTGTTGCTTTACTATAAGCTTTACTTTACTTATATTAGGGTTCCAGGAGAAGCTATGAAGCTGTTGTGCAGAGCCAGGCACACCAGGCACTGCCACTTGGACTTGCACAGTGTGGGATGCTCGGGGAAGGGGCAGGGAGCATCCAGTGCCAGACAGGAACCACACTATGCTGTGTAGGTTTTATGCAGGGAACAGATACTTCTGTCTCACCTTCAAATGGGATTTTGGAGGTTGCAATCTCTGCCAGCACAATCCCGAAGCTGGAAGGAGATAAGCAAGAGTCTCAGCACTCATTCTACCATGTGTTCCTCCCTTCTAATGGAGAGGATTATTGGGCTATGCCAACAGAAAACAAGGGCTTATGTGTCCAATTAAACCTGACCTCCTTCCATAGCTCAACATCTACTCTGCCAGAAACGAGCCTGCTCACAGGCCCCTCTCCAGGGAGGGACAGACACACCTGTATATCTCACAGGGCCTCTTGTAGGGGTAGTTGATGTCTTTCATGTTCTCAGGAGCGATGTAAGCCAGCATAGAGACTTGTTTCCAGTTCTTCTTGGCTTTCCTCTTGATGGATGACTCTGTTTCACACAGCTCAAATCCTGACAGCTGATTGAGAGAATGAGAGAGAAAGGGAGAAGTGGTAGACCCCTGTGGCACAGCTGGGGAGTGCCCTGAGACGGAGCAAACAGAGTGAGATGCCCTGGGCAGCAAAGGCTGGCATGCAGCCACATGTGCTGCCCGGCACGTGGCTCTCTCTGCAAGTGAAACCAGAGGTGGAGGCAGGTGACTTGCTCCAGCTTCAGCTCATCCCAGGGTGGATGACTCAGGAGCAATCACTTTGCTGATGATAAGACTGAGACAGGCAGGTTTAAGTGCAGTTGGCTCTACCCCAAGTTTTATTCTGGACTGTCATAATTCCCTTCGGTGTTGGTGGAGGGAGACATCCACAAAACCATTCAGACCTCCCAAAACCTTCTCCAAATGTGTTGCTTACCTTCACACAGTAATCCCCAGCCACCAGGAACTTGCTGCTGCAGATGCAGCCGTGGAGTCGGGATTTCTCCCCTGTCTGGTGCAGCCTGTAAAGGCCTCTGGCGGCTCCCAGGGCCATCCGAATGCGGATGTCCCAGGAAAGATGCTGTTGTGTGTTCAGCACATCCCGCAGCGTCCCGTGCTTACAGTACTCCATGACGATGGAGAAGCAGGGGCTCCCATCTGCAAGGCAAAAGGATCCTGCCTTGTGCCACCTCCTGGGAGGGGGCCACAGCAAACTGTCTCCCACTGGGAACAGTCAGGGGAGGAAAAGGGTGACAATAATGTGACCCCCCTACCGTTCTCCTCAATGCAGATCCCGTACATGCGCAGGATGTTTGGAGACTCAAACTTCTTCAGGGTCTGAATCTCCTTCTCGAAGATGTCTCTCACCTTCCTGTGGAAAAGGACAGCGTGGTGAGGTCCCTGGAACAAGGCATGACAACATGACATGGTGCTGTGCCACCCTCCCAGGTAGCACACTCGCTCCCACCCAGGACAACTCACACTGGGTCAGTGGTCAGTGGCCTCTTGAAGGTTTTGATGGCAACAGGGTACTTGAGGTACTCGCCCTCGTAGAGGTCGTAGCTCTCGGTGTCCTGCAGGTGCCTGTAGATGGTGAGGTGGTCCCGCTTGATCTCAGTGATGTCTTCTCTTTTACCAACGTTGACCTTCTTCAAGCCTGCTCCCACCATGTGCCGGGAGGGAATGAGGGACTCGTTAGGCAGGGCTTTGGGGGGAAAGGACACAGTGCACAGGGTGCGGGAAGTGCGACACCACTTACGCTCCATCTCGCGCACGATTTTGTTCAGCTCCCTTTGCATCCAGTCTACCGTGCTCTCCACACACTGACTGCCAATGTAGATCTCCTCGGCCACTTCTTCAGGTTCCTCAGTACCTGGGGAGAGAAACATGCATGGGTTGGGCCACTGGATGAACAAGCAGGACTGATGTGGTTAGTTTTTCTTATGGTTTAAATGTCCCTCTGGCTCTCCATGGCCATGGCAATCAAGACAAAGCTGGGAAGCAGCTGGGGAGAGGTGCCAACCTCTGGTCTCAGGGAAAGAGGATTTGCTAAATGCACACTTACTTGCAATCACCTGGTCCAAGAAAGCCCTGTCATCCCTCAGGTCCTCAGCATCCTGCCTGCGACACGTCTTTGCCTGGAAAACTTCCAGGAAAGCCTGCTTCTGCTCCGCCTGCAGCAGGAGCGAGAGCCCCTGGGCAATGTCCTCCAGGCTCTCGTTCACCCAGACGAACTCCTCACCAGTGCTGCGGGCTCGCAGGAACTTCTGGATCCAGCTGGTCTGGCTGTATTTCATCACCAGTTTCTCAGCTTCCCCTAGGACCCGAAGCAGTTTCTTCAGCAGTTCCTCTTCGTGGTGGGAGATGTGCTGTCGTGGCTGAGCCCTGAGGATCCTCACGGGCTCCAGCAGGATCTGGATGCGCTCCACGAGGCGCTGGCACTGGTGCTTACAGCACTTCACCTGCTCAAATTGGGCATGGATGACCTGGGCCAGGGAGAGGACCCTCTCCACGATGTCCATGCTGGCAGCAAAGGGCTTGGCCCCTGGGGCTGTGGGGATGTGGGCTGGGAGCGTCTGCTGAAGGTGAGCCTCAGGTGCTGCTCAGAGATTAGCTGGATCCAGCTCTTCCACGCCTTCCACCCTAAGGAACAGCCCTGATATGGGACACCACCCTCGAGGTCCCCCATAGCCCCCTCCACCTCCTCCAGCTTTGCTGCCTCTACTTGGCCTGGCACCACGGCTGCACCACGTACAGACCAGAGTGGGCACACACAGAGACACGGGTACCAGCAGGAGTGGCACATCTCGCTCTGCACTAGCAGATTTTAGCTTGATTTAGGTACATTAATTTAGTGTGAGCCATCCCAGAGAGCTTACACCCAGAGGAGTGAGGTCAGCAGTGACCCAAGGAGCATCCCTGGGCCAGCAGTCCCAGGCTCCGGCCCCACATCACCCTGGGATCCTGCCAACAGAGCCTACATCTTTGACCATAAAGATCCATTTTCATTTCTACCCAACATCTCCCTCTGTTGTCACCCATCTAATAAAAGCTTGCACCCAGCATCTCCAGATTCTCCATATTTTCTCCCCATAGCCCCGTATTTCCCACTTAAGATTTTAAATCAAACTCTTTCTATGCTCTCAACATCCCCGCAGGGATGGTCCCTGCTCCCCAGCCCACATCCAGGCAGCAGAGACAGAAAACCACCCCTGTTGCAGGGAAATTATCAGCAGCCACTCACACCACTGATGCAGCCAGGGCTAAGAGAGGGGTGCCAGACACCACCGGCAGGAAACAAGATGGGAACACGCCCAGAAACCAGTTCCACTCTCCCGTCCTCTTTTCAGCCCAGTCCCCGAGGAAGAAACAAGCTGTTACCTGGTCCTGCTCCACTGGTCTCTGCCTTGGCTGCCTCCACAGACTGGAGAGGCACAGCAGGAGGAGAAGGATTTTATAGGGTGCTCTCCCCGCCACTGCTGCCACGCAGCGGAAGGGACATTGTGCAACCCCCTGCAGCTTCCCACACTGGGACAACCCCCTGCTCCCAGAAAGCTGCCTGGGGTATCCCCAGTGGCTGGAGGCCCCTGTGCTGGGTTTTGCCTGGTGGAGGAAGGAATTGCCCACGGGAAGCACGTTTGGAGGAAGGAGTGGGGAGGCTGTGCCCCTCATATCGATGCTTGCTGCTATTCTGAGCACCCCAACCCCCCTTCTGCTGTGCTGTCAGCTGTGAGAAGGCTTGCCCAGGGCACTGTAACACCCACAACAGGGGCTCTGTGTCCTGCTGAGCTTCCTTTACTTGCAGTGAGACCCTCTGGAGCACACCCATCCCAAACGAGGGGTGCTGATCCTTTGAGCTCCCTTCCTTACCCCTGCAGCCCCCGGACCCCCCAGCACCAAAGGAAAGGGGCTGTGGGCACCAGTGCTGGAAATAGCGCTTGACCTCTGCTGGGAGCACAGGAAGTTTTGCATGTGGGTTCGTCAGAGGGCCAGGCCGATTTTAGGAAGCACTCTTGCCCAATTTCAGGGAAGTGAGTGGCAACTTCAGCCAGCTTCTGCTCACCCGAGTCTGGGGTCACAGGAGTTTGTTGCTGGTGCTCCTCGTAAAGCTCCTCCCTCACTGTGGCTGATGAGGGGAGCCAAGAAAAGTGGCACTGAGGGCCATCAGCACCTGGAAAGGCATGCACCAAGGGTGGGAGAACATGGGAGTAGCCCCAGGGGTATATTTGTCAGACTCTTTTAGAAGGCTTTATTTTTCAAAATATACAGTTTATTTACAATTGTAGTGTCTAAGTTTTACATATAAATTTATTCCAAACCTTTAAATATCCGCAGTAAACATGAGGGAAAAAAATAATAAAAAATAAAATCACAGGATCAGCAAAAAAAAGGCATCTCATAGTAATTCTGTTCATTGGAGTTTGAGTTTCAAGTAGCCAGCATCTACAAAAACCATGAACTTGATAAATCTGGCAGAGAGATACGGATGCACTGGTTAGAAAAAGGCACAATCCAGACCTGCAGGACCCCCCAAAAGGGCTGCAGGCCAAAAAAACCCTGTGCTGAGATCGGGCCGGGAGTAGGACCCAGGATACAGAATCCCCTCGGAACGAGTTAGGGGATGGGGTTAACTGCAGCCCTGGAGAGGGAGAGCACCCTGGGAGGAACAGGGGCCTCAGGGGCTGGGGCAGAGGATGGAGGGCACCACCAGGCACTTCATCTCTCAGGCAGCAGATCTGCCTGTGCATCCGTGGCCTGGAGCGGGAGGGCACCAAGGGAGGGGCAGGAGCTCCCCAGGGGGCCCCAGAACCTCCTCCTCTTCACACCCTCAGTCCCCCATCCCCTTGGCCATGCCACAGCTGGACCACAGCACTCTGGGAGGATGGTCCAGTGTGGAGCCACTGCTGTGGCACAGCCCCAGGAAGGGGGCAGGGACCAGCTGGCCTTGCCGAGGGCTGGGGAGGGACACCAGCCCCAGCCCAGGGGGGACAGAGCTGGGAGCCAGGCACCGTGCTGGGGCTGTCAGTCCTCTTTCTTGAAGGTCTCCTCGGGGATGAGTGTCCGGAACGGGTAATCCCAGAAGCGTGTGCTGATGCCAAAGCCTGTAGGCAAGGGGAGAGAGTGCTCAGCCCATGGCACCACCATGGCCGGGGTGTTGCAAGGGCTCTGTGTTAACCGGTGAGGGAGGAGTGTCTGTGTTTTGAGGAGGGAGGAAGGCAGGGTGAGGGCAAGGAGGAAGAGCAGAGGGAGCAGGAGCTGGCTGGGCCATGCCACCAGGCCCATGGATGATAGCTTATCTGGATGGGGCGTTTTCTCCTAGGAAACCGGGCAAAGGGCAGGTTGAGCAAGCGCCAGGCTGGGGAAGGTTTGGGGCGGGTCTGGGGAAGCCCAGGGCCTCACCCTGCCTCCTGGCAGGAGGAGATGCTGCCCCAGGATGGGACAGGCACCCACATACCAGCTCCATGAAGGCTTGGCCTCCACCCTGGCATCCCCAGTGGCATTAATACCCACGGGCTGCTGCCTTCACCCTGTATCACTCTGGCTCCCCATCCTCAACCTGGGGGCCAAGAAACGTGCCCCATGGACTGCAGCACCTCACACGCCGCTTCCCCAGCAGCTCAGTGCTTGACCTTCCCAATCCCAAATCCCAAAGACCAAATATTTTGGAGCATTAGAGGCACACGTGCAGGTAGACCGGGCTTTGGCAGCCCTTGCCCCTGCCGGCACGCACGGGGGGGGACAGGGCGCTACCTGATCTTTGGTGCTCGAAGTGGTGCTTGACGTGATAAGCCTTCAGGCCATACAGGTAGGTGCCTTTTTTGGGCGAGCCGTAGTGGAGGTAATAGTGCATCATGTCGTAGATGACGTAGCCGCAGAGCCCCCCGACGAACACGGAGAGCCCCAGCACCTCGGGCAGCAGGAGCCGCAGGACGCCGTAGAAGAAGCCGATCACCAGCGAGGCCGGCACGGGAGGGAAGACCAGGCGGGAGCTGTCGAAGGGAGACTGGAAGAGGAGAGGGATGTTGGGACGGGCAGCTCCTGGCTCACCCTCCCTGTCTCAGAACATCCCTGCCAAGCATTGGGGAAGCCCATTTGGGAGAAGCCAACACCAAAAACCCTCCCCAGGGACGCACCCAGTGGCAAGAGCAGCCCCCCCATGCACGCCAAGAGGGCCAGGTAGGTGGTGGCTTTAACTGCAGGTCCCCAAGCTCCACAGGGCATTTCCTCCAGCAAAGCTAGAGGGAGCCGTGGCTTTTTTGGTGTTCCCCCTTGCCCAGCTGGAGCTTGCAGATTTAACTCCAGCTTCTCCAAGCCTGTCTTGCAGCCCTCGCTGGTATTGGGTAAGGGCCCCGCTTGGATGCCACCAGTCACAGCGAACAGGCACAAACAGGCTCTGCCTGGGCAAAGGCCATGCAGAAACAGGCTCCACCGGAGCAAAGGCCACCATTCCCACAGCCCAGCGGGCGCCAGCGGGGGCGGGAGCCACGACTCACCTTGTGATGCTGCCCATGCAGCAAGAAATGCAAGGTGATGAGATAGTAGTTACTGGCGGGTGGCTTCATGTGGAAGACAAAGCGATGGATGAGGTACTCTAGCAGGGACCACAGGAACATCCCCAGGAGGAAGATGAAGGGGAAGTAGTATTTGTGGACAGGGATGGAGTACTCTACACAACGAGACATGCAGCAGTCAGCAGGGCGGGCGACGTGCGGGTGCTCTTATCCATCACCAGCCTCCCACTGGTATCCAGGTGAAGCTCAGCTCTCCCTCCCTCCCACCCCTCATCCACGTCCTGCCCTGTGCTTCTTCCTGCCCAAGCACTGCTCCAAAACCATGTTTTCCTCTGATTCCCACTAATTTACAGAAACAGTTGGCTTTTCACTACCACGAGGAGCCAGTGGGGGGGGTCTCCTGCATCCCAGATGCCAATGAGGGCTTGGACATGCACTCCTTACAAAGCTGCTTCGCCCACCAGAACAAGGCAGGAGGGACCTTATCTGCACAGGCAGCACTTGTGACAGTAAAACAGTGTTGTGGGTGCTGGGGTTTCTTTTTTTCTGGGCAAAAAGAATAGGTTTGTTGGGCAGTTTCCCCCGCAGAGCATTTTTCAGCCACCTCCTTCTTTCAGGGCTGACTGCCAGCCCTGCGTCCTCTCTAGCAAAATTAAGATTCTTCCCCAAACCTGCTTATTTTTAGTAAAAAAAACCCAAAACCTGAATGCCAGCAAGGTGCTGGGCACCAAGGAGCAGGGGGGTGCCAGTGCAGCAGGCAGTTCCCCCTCCCCTCTCAGCCGGGCACAGCTGGCACTGGGTGGCACCTTACAAAAAAAAAAAAAAAAAAAAAAAAGGGAAACCAAAAAAAAAAAAAAAAGACAACAAAGAAGACAGCCTGCCCCGGCCACGCTTGTTATTCCCGGGGGAGCAGACAGTGGGAGATTCAGGGGCAGGCGCTTCGGGCAAACAAGCCCCGCACTGTGCGATGCCGGCGGCGCTGAGAGCTGGGTTTGTTCGCCCGCCACGCCGGCATTCAGCCACCGCCCGGGGTGGGCGTCGGGGCTTGGAACAAACCCCAGCGCTGGCGGGCTCTGTTTTGGGGATGGAGGGAAGGGAGGCAAGAGAGAGCAGGTTGCAGCCCGGGTCAGCGGGCTCTGTGCCTCTATCGATCCCCCGGGGGGGGACCAAATCTTGTGGGCGAGGGGAGGGGAGGGAGGTGGGCGAGCTGAAGTGGCTTCATGCAGGAGATGTGCAGGTGCTGCAGGGACAGGTGCTCACCCGCTGCTCCTGAGTGCGGCCTGTGGTGAGCATTGCATGGAAAGGGGACAGGGAGGGGTGCAGAGGTCTCCCTCCACCCAGGGCTGTCCCGCCCCTGGACCCAGAGTGGGGACAGTAAGTGAAGCCCAAAGGCTTTGCTGCTGCTCGTACCTGTGGTGAAGGAGGAGAAGAGCCTGGTGTTGCCCTGAGCGAGGGAGGTGTAGCTGAACCAGCTGAGATAGAGCACCACGGGCGTCCACACCATGAACACCACGTACCTGCGGGGTCGAGGGAGATGTCAGAGGGAGCATCCCACTGGCTGGCAAGTCATTCCCTCCCCCCCTGTGGAAGCACTGGCCAGGGCACGGTGCAGACCCCAGGAGCTCACCACGCTGTCTTGGAGAGGGACTCAAGGATGTCCGAGTGGAAGAGGCGGATGGGCCGATCCACGGGCTGGTGCACCCACTCGTCATACTTCTCCCCTAAGTAGCCCACCTGCCACAGCAGGGGCTTCTGCCAGTCTACCAGGTCCTGAGGGCACAGACAGTGGTTATTGGTACCCACAGTGGGACCCACACATCACCCCAGTATCAGGCACAAAGCTGAGCCGCAGCTGCGGGATTTTGGGCTGCAAACCCCTTTCTGTGCCCCACAGGCAGTTGCTCCT